GTGTAGCTCTAGTTTTAAATTGGTTATGTCTCCAGTGTAACTCTTGCTCTAGTGTAGATCTTCGGATAGCTCAGAGTTATCTTGGTGCAGTGTTTGTGTTTTGTGTTTTGTTTTATTCTCTCTCAGACAGGCCGGTTCTGTTGTGTGTAAAGTGGACGTGGGTCACCCTGCAGCTCTGTTTATCTGTGTTTGTAGGCGCTGACTGTGACTGAGGTGAACAGTTTGTTGGGTCCTAATCTGCCGTCTCTGAAGACGTATGAGAATAACACGGTGGTCCAGAGCTGGATCAGCCTGCAGCTCCAGTCTGCGCTGGACACACTCCAGATCGGCCTTACAGGAGGACGTGCTACCGACTCCGCTGCAACCACTGCAGCAGCAGCAGCTCCTGCTGGTGTGGGTTCATTGCTGTTTCTTCCCTTCAAATGACGCACACTAAAGTGAACTGCATGCTAATAGTGCCCCTCTACTGGAGAAACTCCAGACTGCTTCACGTTGCTATAACTACAGCTATGTTGCTATGACTGCTGCTGTCTAAACTCTCAGCAGAGAGAGTGGAGAATTTATTGTGACCTGACAGTTTATTAATAATCCACTGTTTTAACACATTTAATATTATTTACCACGCTGATTAAATTTATATTAATCTTCTTTAGTTTATATCAGTTCTCTTTCTCAAAAACAGCAATTATTGCCTTTGAAGCATATCTGATTATATCGCCCAGGACTAACTTTTTATTCATCTGTGCCAAAACAAACGATGTAGAATTTAATTAGAGGTCTTAAAATCACCACATTTAACGCAGAAAATTGACAAAAATCTAATCAAATCTTCACATTTGAAAATGTTATTGAACCTGATAAATCTGTATTGTTAGAGCCCTGCAGCCTCTTCATCTGTCCTCCTCTGGAGAGAAGCTCCTGTAGTCCTCAGTCTCTGCAGAACCCGTAATCAGTTTAACATCTCTAACATTTCTCTCTCGTTTCCTTCCTGAACTAATTACGCCTTTAACATCAGCCATGCAGCTCTTTCTCTTTCTGGGGAAAATGCAGCTGAATTTAGGTGATATACCAACTACATAGATGCCTATTAGTCCAGACTGTTATTATTATCAGCACAAACATGTGCGTTCTCTGTAAATAAGAGATTATAATCACTAATAAAGCATTGGTGTCTACACACTTCAGCAGAGGCGTGTCTTGGAAGCTTTAAAGGATACATACAAGGAAAACATACAAATTTTCTTACTTATTCTGTAATTGAATTTGTCATGGTTGTGATCTCACTTTATATATATAATATAATATAATTATATATATATATATATATATATATATATATATATAAAATGTGTGTATAATAATGTGTGTGTAATGTGTGTATAATGGCCCATAGCAGTTTAGCCCCACCTGTTCAGTGCACTGCTTTCAGCTCCACTTACTTTAGCTCTGTTTAGAAGTGCTTCACTGCTTTTTTGACTGAAGCAGCCAATCAGATCTCAATCTCGTTATTGTAAGGTATGAAGAGAAGCTGGAAAATAATTATGTAAAATATGTAAATTATGTAAAATCACACAAACATTATAAAACAACAGAAGTAGAATCGTATAAAATTAATGCTTTGTTGTTTATTGGGGCAAAAGTAAATGATAAGACATTTACTGCACAGTACACATTAATAACAACATTTTGCATGCGTAATATGGAACAATGTGCCAGCTTAGTCCACTCTCAGACAAACCCCCTCATACCAGCTTATAATGGCAGATAATAATGTAGATTTCCACTGAAGGAGAGTTAGATATAAACATAGACATAGATATAGATTTACATATATAAATACATATAGATATATAGATTTCGAGTACACATGAAGAATAATAGAAAAAGAGTACATGCATCAGTGTGGCCACTAGAGGGAGTAAACCTTGGAGATCACAACCAATCAGAACAGGATTCTTTAGGAGGTGAATCAATTTACCATGATTCAACTCAACTATGGTTCTTTGGGAAATGATTCAGTGTATTATGAAAGCTGAAATTTTACCACGATTTGAGGACGTTTTTGTATTAAAAAATATTTTTTGAAATTACACTGAATGCTGAAATGTTGCTATAGTACACTGTAGTGGATTATAGACCATAAAAACAAGATTATTTATTTATTGGGTTTCCTGTTTATGAAAGCATTAAGAAAGAATGAGTAAACGCTTTATTCAACATGGAACCTTTTAGATTTAGATTAAAATGGAAAGTCGATTTTTTGGAGGGGGGACTTTTACATTTCAAACCTATTATTTTAATACAGCACCGTCATTTTTTGTCAAAAAAAAAAAAATGAGCGCATACATTATTAAATGTTATTATGATTGATTATATAATTTCCGAAATCACTCTAGTCTTGATGGATATAGTGTTGCTCCCTCTAGTGGACACTCAGAGTAAAGCCAGTAAATTTATTTACATTTGAAAATAACATAAGTGCAGTTTTACATGTCTACTCCCCCCAGTGGACATTCAGAGTATATACAGTTAAACCTTTGTTTCTTAGTGAAGAACACTGTAATAGTGTTATAAGCATTTATAAACACCCAGAAGAGCCTTGCAGTTGGAGCAGGTGTGTTTAACGTCCCTCAGACGGTCACCATAGAACGGAATCAGACAGCAACCCAGAGAACATCTACAGAGAGAGAGAGAGAGAGAGATACAGAGGGATGTTTAAGCATGTGAATATATACTACATGGCCAAAAGTATGTGGACACCTGATCACCCCTGTATAAGCTTATTGGACCTCCCATTCCAAAACCACAGGCATTAATATAGAGTTGGTCCCCCTTTGCGGCTATAACAGCTTTTGCATTGTGTAAAATGTCTTTGTGCTGTAGCATTAAAATACCCTTCACTGGAACTGAGAGCGCAAACCCTGAACAACAGCCCCGCCCATCATCCCTCCTCCACCAAACTTTACTGTTGGCTCTGCATTCCGGTAGGTAACATTCTCCTGACATCCACCAAACCCAGATTCATCATCAGACTGACAGATAGAGAAGCTGAGTCGTCACTCCAGAGAACACGGTTCCACTGCTCCAGAGTCCAGTGGTGGCGCTTTACACCCCTCCAGCCGACACTTGGCATTGTGCATAGTGATCTCAGACTTCCCATATGGGAAGATATATTTGAAATATATATCAAATACATGGGCTCGTTCTGGTGGTTAATTTGTTTGCTGCTTGTGGCACAAATGATTCATTCAGGTGGCGTTATTGTTTAGGATGTGTGCACACAGGTCGTTTCAGGCCACAGGCTGAGTCCCTTTCCTACACAAATGTGAAGGTAGAAGCAGAAGATCGGAACTGAGCAACGAAGCTTGTAATGTGAACCTAGCCAAAGGCTGTGTTCAGACTACAGGTGAATCAGATCTTTTGAGTCGACTGTCCGCTCTGTTATCTCAAGTGATCAGATCAGATTTGTGTGTCCAGACATCACCAGTCTATCTGCATGGGTTGCCATGGTAACAACGTAGGTGTCAGTGACTACGTAGCTATGCTGGATGCAGGGGAGATGGAGAAGCATCATCTCCCCTCCAAACTCTTCAGAACTCTCTTCATCATGAATCTCTGGAGCTCTTCTTGAATCCCAGCACTTCATCACTCTGGATTCCACATCATCGCTGTTTGTAAAAATCTGAATCGTATTTCAAACCTCTTCCAAATGTGGTTTGGATCTGATTTGCAAAATTCAGATTTCATGTGTTTTTGCTGTCCAGACTATCAAAAATCAATCTGGATATGTCAAAAATTGGATTTGGCGGGCCATCTGAACATAGCCAAAGTGGCTCAGATCTGATTTGAAAAAATCTGATTTGTGGATCCACACTGCTTTGAAAACATCAGATCTGTTCACATTAAGGAGAAAAAAAAACGGGAAAAAAAGAGCTGTATAAAGCACATCCAGTAATGTACCCTCCAGAACACTCTTAACCCACAATTTGAATGCAAACAGCAGGGGGTGCTCTGACCACGTCCCTTCACTATAACCTGCTGTATTAGAAAGTGTGACTGTGCCCAAAAGTAGTGAGTAGTATGTGAAGCCCCATCTGCTTATCAGCTGGTCTTCCGGCTATCACAGCATTCATCATAACACTGACCACTAAAACTGAAACTGAAACTAAATATAAACTGATGTAAAACTGTTACTTTTCAGGAAGCAAAAACTGAAATTCTTCATGCTCCCTTAAAACTACACACTTATAAAAATGGTTCTTCAAGGGTTCTTCAGTAAAGGTGATGGTTCTGCTTTTTCTATAGAACCCTCTGCATGCTTAAATGGTTCTCTACATAGTGAAATGGTTCTTCAGATTGATGGAGAATGTGTTGTATATGGTTCCACATAGCGCAAAAAAGGGATCTGCTATGGTTACAAGCTTGATTTTGTATCAATAGACGAACCCTAGGTGCTATATAGAACCGTTTTCAAAACATTTCTACGTAGAACCATCTACAGCACGTTCTCCAACAATCTGAAGAACCATTTCACCATGCAGAGAACCATCTAATCAAGCGAATGGATCTTTGAGTGTTTTTGGTTCTATATAGAGCCGTTATCTTCACTAAAGAACCCTTGAAGGACCATCTCTTTTAGGAGTGTAAATAAAAATAAAAACTAAAGAAAATTAAAAATTGTATGAACTGAGATTTTTACGTTTTATTCTTCATTTTTCATTTTCAACAGGACCGTCTTTAAGCAAAATACAAATGTAAATGATGAAAGACAGCTAGCAACGGTTGCTAAGCAGTGATTGGAGAGCTGAGAAAAATGGGGCGGTTCTTGAGATGGTCTGATTGGCTCAGTCCCTGATGTTGGCAGGCTAGCGGCACCTCTGGCTGTCTATATACTGGATAAATACATACTGAATATGAATATTCATATTCTTTGTAACACAGCCTGAGTTTTACCCGCAGAAGAACAGTCCTCCACAGAGGAGGTAGGTGAGGAGTCCAGCTGAATGCTCCACATTAGTGAGTCCAGTGTGGTGACAGGTGGGACACATTACCTGTACTGGACTGTCCCCGAATGGACTCAGGACTGCACAGAGAGAGAGAGAGAGAGAGAGAGAGAGAGAGAGAGAGAGAGAGAGAGAGAACAACACCAGGGAAACCTGCTCAGCTTAATCCACTCACAGGAAGTGAGGCAGTTGCTCAACATTGCTATCCAAAACAGCTAGAGTGTTACAGCATTGCTGTTACAGACTCACTAGTAACCATGTTACAGTGATGCTGTTACAGTCCCTGTTACTGATTAGTAACAGTGTTACAGTGATGCTGTTACAGTCCCTGTTACTGATTAGTAACAGTGTTACAGTGATGCTGTTACAGTCCCTGTTACTGATTAGTAACAGTGTTAGTGATGTTGTTACAGCCCCTGTTACTGATTAGTAACAGTGTTAGTAATGTTGTTACAGCCCCTGTTACTGATTAGTAACAGTGTTACAGTGTTGTTACAGTCCCTGTTACTGACTAGTAACAGTGTTACAGTGATGTTACAGTTCCTGTTACTGACTAGTAACAGTGTTACAGTGATGTTACAGTCCCTGTTACTGACCTGTAACAGTGTTACAGTGATGCTGTTACAGTCCCTGTTACTGATGAGTAACAGTGTTACAGTGTTGCTGTTACAGTCCCTGTTACTGATTAGTAAGTGTTAGTGATGTTACAGCCCCTGTTACTGACTAGTAACAGTGTTACAGTGATGTTACAGCCCCTGTTACTGACTAGTAAAAGTGTTACAGTGATGTTACAGTCCCTGTTACTGACTAGTAAGTGTTACAGTGATGTTACAGCCCCTGTTACTGACTAGTAACAGTGTTACAGTGATGTTACAGTCCCTGTTACTGACTAGTAACAGTGTTACAGTGATGTTACAGCCCCTGTTACTGACTAGTAAAAGTGTTACAGTGATGTTACAGTCCCTGTTACTGACTAGTAAGTGTTACAGTGATGTTACAGCGCCTGTTACTGACTAGTAACAGTGTTACAGTGATGTTACAGTCCCTGTTACTGATTAGTAACAGTGTTACAGTGATGTTACAGTCCCTGTTACTGACTAGTAACAGTGTTACAGTGATGATGTTACAGTCCCTCTTACTGATTAGTAAGTGTTACAGTGATGTTACAGCCTCTGTTACTGACCTGTAACAGTGTTACAGTGATGTTACAGTCCCTGTTACTGACTAGTAACAGTGTTACAGTGATGTTACAGCCTCTGTTACTGACCTGTAACAGTGTTACAGTGATGTTACAGTCCCTGTTACTGACTAGTAACAGTGTTACAGTGATGTTGTTACAGTCCCTCTTACTGATTAGTAACAGTGTTAGTGTTACTGTTGCAGTCACTGTTACTGATTAGTAAGTGTTAGTGATGTTGTTACAGTCCCTGTTACTGACTAGTAACAGTGTTACAGTGTTGTTACAGTCCCTGTTACTGACTAGTAACAGTGTTAAAGTGATGTTACAGCCCCTGTTACTGACTAGTAAAAGCGTTACAGTGATGTTACAGCCTCTGTTACTGACCTGTAACAGTGTTACAGTGATGTTACAGTCCCTGTTACTGACTAGTAACAGTGTTACAGTGATGCTGTTACAGTCCCTGTTACTGATTAGTAACAGTGTTACAGTGATGTTACAGTCCCAGTTACTGACTAGTAACAGTGTTACAGTGATGTTACAGTCCCTGTTACTGACTAGTAACAGTGTTACAGTGATGTTACAGCCTCTGTTACTGACCTGTATGAGTGTTGCAGTGATGCTGTTGCAGTCCCTCTTACTGATTAGTAACAGTGTTAGTGTTACTGTTGCAGTCACTGTTATTAATTACTAACAGTGTTACAGTGATATTGTTACAGTCACTGTTACTAACTGGTGAATGTAGGATTAGGAGTTTTGCCCAGCTGATGTAGCATGGTCCACTTGCCAACCCCAGTTGGCCATGTGTAGAGCAGCAGTATTACACCCTTCTCTTTATCATGTGGAGGTGTTCAGTAACCTTGATTATGTGGTGTCTACGTTGTATGATGCTCTGTTATTGATGAAAGTGGACTAAAGTATAGAGTTTAGCTGTGCTAATGTATTTTAGCGCATGTTTATAGATAACAGTGTTTCATACAGTGTCAGAAACCAAAGAATCAAGTATCTCAGAGACACTGAACACCTCCACACAGTGGAGTGCTATTTTTCATATGTTTAAGCCTCCTTATACGCGTTAGCTACATTGGCCTCATAGCTCCAGGGCTAAAGCCAAAGCAGCAAACATCAGACTCCAAGTCTTGGCTGATGTAGTACGTTTGGGAGTACATCTGCTTTGCCTCCTGTTCCTGCCATGTGGATGTGTTCAGAGTCACAGGATGTGGGAGATGTCGGAGAGCGGGGGGAGGTTTTCTCTCACTGTTTAACAAGATTACAGGCCCAACTCACCCACAACCTGACCTGATACAGTCGCCATTCCACTGAAAACACAAACAAAACAAACAGGATAAACAGTTTCGTATCAGATACACAGCGCAATCTGATCGTATCTGAACTGTTTACATTACAGAGACGTTCAGACTTCAGCACTTCTACTTCTACCACAACACAGATACAGAAAGTGGAACCTAACAGTGTCTTTAGTGCATTTCAGCACTTACAGTATTTATGTTTAACACAAATCACATCTGTTACTTAACAACACACACTACGTCATGAATAATTCATAGAAGATACTGAATAATTCATAGAAAATAATGAATAATTCATAGTAGATACTGAATAATTCATAGTAGATACTAAATAATTCATAGTAAATACTGAATAATTCATAGCAGATATTGAATAATTCATAGCAGATGCTGAATAATTCATAGTAGATACTGAATAATTCATAGCAGATATTGAATAATTCGTAGAAGATGCTGAATAATTCAAAGAAGATACTGAATAATTCATAGTAGATACTGAATAATTCATAGTAAATACTGAATAATTCATAGTAGATAGTAAATAATTCATAGTAGATACTGAATAATTCATAGTAGATACTGAATAATTTATTAGCAGATATTGAATAATTCATAGTAGATAATGAATAATTCATAGATGATACTGAATAATTTATAGTAGATATTGAATAATTCATAGTAGATACTGAATAATTCATAGTAGATTCTGAATAATTCATAATAGATGCTGAATAATTTATAGTAGATATTGAATAATTCATAGTAGATACTGAATAATTCATAGTAGATACTGAATAATTTATTAGCAGATATTGAATAATTCATAGTAGATAATGAATAATTCATAGATGATACTGAATAATTTCTAGTAGATATTGAATAATTCATAGTAGATACTGAATAATTCATAGTAGATACTGAATAATTTATAGTAGATATTGAATAATTCATAGTAGATACTGAAAAATTCATAGTAGATACTGAATAATTTATTAGCAGATATTGAATAATTCGTAGTAGATAATGAATAATTCATTGATGATCCTGAATAATTTATAGTAGATATTGAATAATTCATAGTAGATATTGAATAATTCATAGTAGATACTGAATAATTCATAGTAGATACTGAATAATTTATAGTAGATACTGAATAATTCATAGTAGATATTGAATAATTCATAGTAGATACTGAATAATTCATAGTAGATACTGAATAATTTATTAGCAGATATTGAATAATTCATAGTAGATAATGAATAATTCATTGATGATCCTGAATAATTTATAGTAGATATTGAATAATTCATAGTAGATACTGAATAATTCATAGTAGATACTGAATAATTTATAGTAGATATTGAATAATTCATAGTAGATAATGAATAATTCATAGTAGATGCTGAATAATTTATAGTAGATACTGAATAATTCATAGTAGATAATGAATAATTCATAGTAGATACTGAATAATTCATAGTAGATACTGAATAATTTATAGTAGATAATGAATAATTCATGGTAGATACTGAATAATTCATAGTAGATACTGAATAATTTATAGTAGATGCTGAATCATTCATAGGAAATAATTCCCACACATTTCAGCTTTATCAGAAAGAGTTACAGACAAACTTTAAAAGCTCTCTGATCCAGAAACTGAGTGATTAATATGATTAATATGAGTGAACTATTAATATGATTAATATGAGTGAACTATTAATATGATTAATATGAGTGATTACTCATATTAAACATTAGTGGAGACACATTTCAGTCCAAACATGACACCATAGAAAAGCTGCATTAGACAAAATCCATTTGCAGTACAGTAATAACTCACACGGTAAAGCTCTGATTTCAAAATGATTCAGTTCTGACCACTGACTAAACGATTCTGTACATCATGAACTCTCAGACTGTTCGGTTCAGTTATTTTAATAAGGAATCCTTTTTACACTTTCTCATGCTCTGAGTATGTGAGTGGAGGAGCTGTGAACGCTGCACTGAAACTCGATACACTGAGCAAACACTGTTTCATATTCAGCCTCCACCCTCAGACCGTTACACAGCGGAACAATAACCATAACCATAACCATAACCATAACCAGCTCAGTAACATTAATAAACAGCTGTACTCACAGGTCTCGGGCTGGAAGTGCTGGACTGAGTCCTGAAGTGTGGATTTTTAAACAAACACTGACAAACACTCAGCTGGACGGTCCTGACTACACCCACTTCCTGTCACAGCTCTTTTCTGCCTCCCTCTCTCTCTGTTTCTCTCTCTCTCTCTCTCTCTGTTTCTCTTTCCCTCTCTCTCTCTCTCTCTCTCTCTCCCTCTCTTCCTCTCTCTCTCACCCACAAACAGACAAACACATTGTGAGAAAATCTGCTCTGTTCCAGCACAAAGAACAGCTGTCCGCACTTCTGTACAGTCAGATACTACTTTGAGTTCAGTTTCTAATCAGATGTTATTGATCTGTCGGATGTTTATGAGCAGATCAGATATAAAATAATCCATCGAGAGAGAACAACATCAGTGTAAAAGAACAGGAGTTTCCAAAACTGACAGAGAAGAACTGGACTCCTAACAACCACCTGGAAGACCAGGTAGACCACATAGTACATACTGAATAATTCGTAGCAGACCCTAATTAATTCGTAGAAGACTGAATAATTCATAGAAGATACTGAATAGAAGGTACTGAATAAGTAGATACTGAATAAGTAGATACTGCATAATCCATAGTAGACACCAAGGTGCAAAATGCAGGGGGTGCTGAGGGGTCTGGGATCCATTAATTAACCCCCTGAATGTCTCAAAATGTAAAATTCTGGAGGGTCTTTATGTCGTTATGCTGTCCATTAGAGAAAGACGCTCAAATCCAGATTCAGTGAAGCTGATTGTTTACCTGCTTCAACCACAATCAGCTTCTGTCTCTGGTGTTCTTAACTAACTAGAGCTGCAGCACTGCTCTGCCTCAGGGTGGCGCTGTAGCAGACTGGCTCACCCAGTTGGTCCTTCACAGCCTAGAAACTGTAACTCTGCCCGGATTCCTCTGAAACACAATGAGCTGCAGCAGATCTGTAAATCTGAAAACTCGCCCAGATTCCCAAGAGTTTGGAGTGAAGAGTGACTGTTCCTCATTTCTCACACTGAAGACAGAAGAGGAGACGAGGAAGATCTCAGTTACTGTGAGGAAGAGCGCAGAACCGCACTAGAACAGAGACTCTACAGAAGAGGAGACGAGGAAGATCTCAGTTAATGTGAGGAAGAGCGCAGAACCGCACTAGAACAGAGACTCTACAGAAGAGGAGACGAGGAAGATCTCAGTTAATGTGAGGAAGAGCGCAGAACCGCACTAGAACAGAGACTCTACAGAAGAGGAGACGAGGAAGATCTCAGTTACTGTGAGGAAGAGCGCAGAACCGCACTAGAACAGAGACTCTACAGAGGAGGAGACGAGGAAGATCTCAGTTAATGAGAGGAAGAGCGCATAACTTGGACTTTAGACTAAAATCCTTTTGCTCTGAGTGACTCTAAAGTTTATTTTATTAAAACTAACGATTAAACATTCCATTTTATCACTAGCAAAACAATCATAACTCTACCAAACTTTACCAAGTGTTTCGGTAGCGTCTGTTTCGCTAGCGACTGTTTCAGTAGCGACTGTTTCAGTAGCGTCTGTTTCAGTAGCATCTGTTTCAGTAGCGACTGTTTCAGTAGCGACTGTCAGTAGTGTCTGTTTCAGTAGTGGCTGTTTCAGTAGTGACTTTCAGTAGTGTCTGTTTCGGTAGTGACTGTTTCGGTAGTGACTGTTTCGGTAGCGACTGTTTCGGTAGCGTCGGTTTCGGTAGCGACTGTTTCGGTAGCGACTGTTTCAGTAGTGACTGTCAGTAGTGTCTGTTTCAGAAGTGACTGTTTCAGAAGTGACTGTTTCAGTAGTGACTGTTTGAGTACTGTCTGTTGCGGTAGTGTCTGTTTCAGTAGTGACTGTTTCAGTAGTGACTGTTTCAGTAGCGACTGTTTCAGTAGTGACTTTCAGTAGTGTCTGTTTCAGTAGTGACTGTTTCAGTAGTGACTGTCAGTAGTGTGTTTCAGTAGTGTGTGTTTCAGTAGTGACTGTTTCAGTAGTGTCTGTTTCAGTAGTGACTGTTTCAGTAGTGACTCAGTAGTGTCTGTTTCAGTAGTGTCTGTTTCAGTAGTGACTGTCAGTAGTGACAGTTTCAGTAGTGACTGTTTCAATAGTGACTGTTTCAGTAGTGACTTTCAGTAGTGTCTGTTTCAGTAGTGTCTGTTTCAGTATTGTCTGTTTCAGTAGCGACTGTTTCAGTAGCGACTGTTTCAGTAGCGTCTGTCTCAGTAGCGACTGTCTCAGTAGCGTCTGTCTCAGTAGCGTCTGTTTCAGTAGTGATTGTTTAAGTAGTGTCTGTTTCAGTAGTGACTGTTTCAGTAGTGTCTGTCTCAGTAGTGACTGTCTCAGTAGTGTCTGTTTCAGTAGTGATTGTTTAAGTAGTGTCTGTTTCAGTAGTGACTGTTTCAGTAGTGTCTGTCTCAGTAGTGACTATTTCAGTAGTGTCTGTCTCAGTAGTGTCTGTTTCAGTAGTGATTGTTTAAGTAGTGTCTGTTTCAGTAGTGTCTGTCTCAGTAGTGACTGTTTCAGTAGTGTCTGTCTCAGTAGTGTCTGTTTCAGTAGTGATTGTTTAAGTAGTGTCTGTTTCAGTAGTGACTGTTTCAGTAGTGTCTGTCTCAGTAGTGACTGTCTCAGTAGTGTCTGTTTCAGTAGTGATTGTTTAAGTAGTGTCTGTTTCAGTAGTGACTGTTTCAGTAGTGTCTGTCTCAGTAGTGACTGTCTCAGTAGTGACTGTTTCAGTAGTGTCTGTTTCAGTAGTGATTGTTTAAGTAGTGTCTGTTTCAGTAGTGACTGTTTCAGTAGTGTCTGTCTCAGTAGTGACTATTTCAGTAGTGTCTGTCTCAGTAGTGTCTGTTTCAGTAGTGATTGTTTAAGTAGTGTCTGTTTCAGTAGTGTCTGTCTCAGTAGTGACTGTCTCAGTAGTGTCTGTCTCAGTAGTGTCTGTTTCAGTAGTGATTGTTTAAGTAGTGTCTGTTTCAGTAGTGACTGTTTCAGTAGTGTCTGTCTCAGTAGTGACTGTCTCAGTAGTGTCTGTCTCAGTAGTGTCTGTTTCAGTAGTGATTGTTTAAGTAGTGTCTGTTTCAGTAGTGACTGTTTCAGTAGTGTCTGTCTCAGTAGTGACTGTCTCAGTAGTGTCTGTCTCAGTAGTGTCTGTTTCAGTAGTGATTGTTTAAGTAGTGTCTGTTTCAGTAGTGACTGTTTCAGTAGTGTCTGTCTCAGTAGTGACTATTTCAGTAGTGTCTGTCTCAGTAGTGACTGTCTCAGTAGTGTCTGTCTCAGTAGTGTCTGTTTCAGTAGTGATTGTTTCGGTAGCGTCTGTTTCGGTAGTGACTGTTTCAGTAGTGTCTGTTTCAGTAGTGTCTGTTTCAGTAGTGACTGTCAGTAGTGTCTGTTTCAGTAGTGACTGTTTCAGTAGTGTCTGTTTCAGTAGTGACTGTGTCAGTAGTGTCTGTTTCAGTAGTGACTGTGTCAGTAGTGTGTTTCAGTAGTGACTGTTTTGGTGACAGTTTTAGCTCATTTTGAGCTCAGAAATTCAGCAGTACAGACCAGCAAATACAGCTTTGAACAGCTGGTCACACAAAATCATCATATTTTACATTAAAACACTAAAAAGTGCTGAACTGCAGAAAATATGATGATTCTTAATGTTCCACACTGATTTTCAGACATTGGGACACATTTACTTCAAAACAATGGGATCTAACTGCTCACCATGTGGCCACGAGGGACAGGGATGCAGCCTCACTTCCTGCTCTAAAATACAGGGGTGTAAAATACGGCTCCGCCCACAGACTAAAACGCCCTGTAGTGACGTGAAAACGGTGCACGACTGTTTTTATTTCAAAATTACATTCATGATAAATCTAAATCTTTCAACCTCACTTTTAGAGAAAAAAGAAACTGCATTGTTTACACCTATAAACACATACATGGTGTTATATACTCCTCCTGACAGAAGGCACTGTGTAAGTGCTGAGTGTGTGTACATTTAGTTTATTACTGTCTTTGGATTAAACAGATCAGAACAGAATCACTGTAAATCTCTCACTGAACTTTTACAGTGTTTCACTGCAGGAGTCCAGACTGAACTAACTCAGCAGAGCTGCCCAGATATTTCACCACGTCTGGCATTCACTAACTGGGGCGTCTGTCCAGAGAGAGAGAGTGAGAGAGAGACAGAGTGGGAGGGGGGAGAAAGAGAGAGAGAGAGAGAGGGGGAGATAGAAAGAGAGTGGGGGGAGAGAGAAAGAGAGAAAGGGGGAGAGAGAGAGGGAGAGAGAAAGAGAGTGGGGGGAGAGAGAAAGAGAGAGGGGGAGAGAGAGAGGGAGAGAAAAAGAGAGAGAGGGGGAGAGAGAGGGGGGAGAGAGAGAGGGAGAGGGGGGAGAAAGAGAGAGAGATACAGAGAGAGAGAGGGAGGGAGAGGCTTCAATGACATTAGCAGCACATGATTTCTAAATCGAGTTTGCTGTAAAATGGTCAGCTGGCAGAAACACAATCTCTCTCTCTCTCTCTCTCTCTCTCTCTCTCTCTCTCTCTCTCTCTCTCTCTCTCCTCTTCTGTCCACTATGTACACTATGGTCAGTCATGTGAGAGTGTTGTAAACTACTGAGTGGATCAGACACAGCAGTGCTGCTGGAGTTTTTAAACACCTCAGTGTCACTGCTGGACTGAGAATAGTCCACCAACCATAAAAATCCAGCCGACAGCGTCCTGTGGGCAGCGTCCTGTGACCACTGATGAAGAACCAGAGGATGACCAACACAAACTGTGCAGCAGCAGATGAGCTATCGTCTCTGACTTTACATCTACAAGGTGGACTGACAAGGTAGGAGTGTCTAATAGAGTGGACAGTGAGTGGACACAGTGTTTAAAAACTCCAGCAGCACTGCTGTGTCTGATCCACTCATACCAGCACAACACACACTAACACACCACCACCACGTCAGTGTTACTGCAGTGCTGAGAATGATCCACCACCCAAATAGTACCTGCTCTGTGAGGGTCCATGGGGGTCCTGACCACTGAAGAACAGGGTAAAAGGGGGCTAACAAAGTATCAGAGAAACAGATGGACTACAGTCTGTAACTGTAGAACTACAAAGTGCACCTATATAGTAAGTGGAGCTGATAAAGTGGACAATGAGCGTAGAAACAAGGAGGTGGTCAGAATGTGACAGGCACAGACTGAGGGGCTGAGGAACAGAGGTTGTTACAGGGAGAAAAAATTCAGTCGGTCAGAGCCTTATACTACACGCAACCAGATGCACTGGACCATGTCTCCAAACTAACACACACACATATGATTACATATTTAAATTATGTCACCTAGCAACCACCCCTGGGTTTTACAAAGCCACGTTCAGTCACATTTCATTATAGAGCGCTTTATATTACGTTACATATGGAAACCGCTCTGTACATTAAGCTATTATCATTATTATTATTATCGTTATTATTATTATTATTATTATGTTCTCAGCCTTACAGCATCACCAATGTTACATCAAAGATTTTTAACATTTTCTAGGAGGAGGGGGTCAGATAGTTCTAGTTATTTCTCCACATCTCAGGTGGGTTTTAGACTTGACTTCAACACCCACTGTAGATGCTGTAGAGGATTCATAGAGTTGATTATCGATGTGATTTATACATTGATTTATAGTTCTTAAGTGTTGAGGTTTGTGTATTTCTCCACTACCACATATTAAAAAGCAATCTAATAAAATCTGATCAGAGATAATTCCACCAATCAGAGGTTTATATCTAAATAAGGAGAAAAAGCTTTTTCTTTTGTTATGAATGACTCTATTTGTAACGTTTGAGGCATGGAGGCGGGATGCAAATGCGAGTTGCTTTTATTGATTGTAGAGCTAATAGGGTCCAGAGTTGCAGAGGTTTGAATAACTGACAAGTTCATGATGAAAGCAAAACCAAACTACAAAATGTACAAAACCAAGGGACAAAGCAACATCAACAGAGTAACATCCACAATGCAAGACAAAGACTGAACAAACACAGGGGTATAAATACACAGAGGGGAAATGAGACACACCTGGGACTAATGAGGGGCGGAGCTACAGGCAGGTGGAACAGATAACAAGGGGGCAGGACCAGGGAGGAGACACAGAACAACAACAAAAAGCACATGTCACAAGAAAACAAAAAGACACATGGCTACCGTAGAGGGGGCGAAAGATGCACCGAGAGGGACAAAGGGAGAATCCGTGACACTATTCAGTTTCTAAGTTGCGAGTAACCTGGTCTCTGTAGCCACATGCAACTGATAGACAGAGTGTAACTATATGGACGGTTTCCTTATTTTTACCTTGACAGTGAATTAAATACGAAACACAAAACACAAAGCATAATCTATGTTGGGGACACTGTGGGCCCTCCCCTTTTGTAAATGTAAATTTTGTCCCCACCACTTTTTTGAAAGTCTAGGCCAGAGGTCACTAAAACGCAGACCGTGGTCCGAGTCCGGACCCAGGCGCTGTCCTATGCGGACCTGGACCTGGACCTATAACATATATGGTCCTATTTTAATGGGTGTAACATTTCTAGTTACGGTGCCGCTTTAGTGGCCCAGGAGACTCACAGACCAATCGCATGCGTTGTAAATATCACACGTGATGCTACTCAGCCAATCAGATCTGTGCACTACGATGAGCACTGAGACTCAAGTGAGGGATGCTCACACAGGAGAGGGACGAGGGGAGAAACAGCAGTCAGAGAAGAAAGTGAGTCAGAGGGAAGTTATTTCACATGGCGTGATCTAAAAACAGAAAACTGACGATAAATATTGTTGAAATGTGACTGAACTGTACTTTATTTGATTTGACATTCAGTTGTTGACTGTATAAGATGTTGATATACCTACTAGGCTCCTTCAGTAAACAGTATATGGCACTGAATCATGATACAAGTTAGACATTATGATGTTCTGGACCTTCGCTTGAGGAAACTTTCTTTAACTGGACCTTATTGAATTTTAAATAAAGACCCGTGGTCTGGGCTTTTTTCTTGCCTGTCATATTGCGTCTAAACAGCAGGTGGCGCCAAAGCATCAAAACTAGAGGGGAAACCTCTAGACCTTCCTAGCTGTACCTTCTTGCTGTTTGTATTTTTTTCATGTTTTACTTTAGTTGTCTTGGGGTCAGCGTCAGGGTGAAGCTGGCGGCTAGAGGTGACGTCCCTCTCGAGCATCTTATGCGCTCCTTTCTGCTGGTGTGTTCAATGAAGAGCATTCCTTACAGCACAATCTTGGCTACCCAGGTGTTTCTTCTGCTGATACCACAGCATTCTGAATGCTGCCTTTACAAAATGTAGCTTGGACTGAATACAAATGCTTATATTCTGTTTTCTGATACTTGTGTTCTGTTACATCCCAACTCTGACATTAGCTATGAATGTAATGCTGACATCCAGGAGAAATAAACAACTCTTAGATATATGTTGAACTTTTTTGTCACAAAAACATGTAAATGTGAGTTTTCCTAGATGGCCTCTGAATAATTCGTTTTTATAACAAACATTCAATAATGTCATTTTATTAAATAGAAGGTACAGCACGATACACCGATCAGACATGACGTTCTGACCGCCTCCTTGTTTCTACGCTCATTGTCCATTTTATCAGCTCCACTTACTATATAGGTGCACTTTGTAGTTCTACAGTTACAGACTGTAGTCCATCTGTTTCTCTGATACTTTGTTAGCCCCCTTTTACCCTGTTCTTCAGTGGTCAGGACCCCCATGGACCCTCACAGAGCAGGTACTATGTGGGTGATGGATCATTCTCAGCACTGCAGTAACACTGACATGGTGGTGGTGTGTTAGCGTGTGTTGTGCTGGTCTGAGTGGATCAGACACAGCAGTGCTGCTGAAGTTAAACACTGTGTCCACTCACTGTCCACTCTATTAGACACTCCTACCTTGTCAGTCCACCTTGTCGATGTAAAGTCAGAGACGATAGCTCATCTGCTGCTGCACAGTTTGTGCTGGTCATCCTCTAGTCCTTCATCAGTGGTCACAGGACGCTGCCCACAGGACGCTGGTGGCTGGATGTTTTTGGTTGGTGGACTATTCTCAGTCCAGCAGTGACACTGAGGTGTTTAAAAACTCCAGCAGCACTGCTGTGTCTGATCCACTCAGACCAGCACAACACACACTAACACACCACCACCACGTCAGTGTTACTGCAGTGCTGAGAATGATCCACCACCCAAATAGTACCTGCTCTGTGAGGGTCCCTGGGGGTCACCACACCATAAGACCACTCTACACCATAAGAGTCCATGGTCAAGAGTCCTAACTCTAAATTCACAGATGTCTGTAACATGATTAGACTGTAAGCTGCTCTAAACAGTGTCAAATGCATACAAGTAAAAGTGTCAATAATATTATAGCTGTTCTACAGTACTTACAATAAATTAAGTACGCAATTAGAAATGTAAATAGAGAACTTCTGTTTTTACTAAGGATCTGCCATGTTCCTAGTTTCCTGGACTTTTCAAATAACGCTCATATATCAAAGAAAACATCAAATGAAAAATAACACTGGATTCAAATTTGCTTCATCAAAGTAAAGATTTATTGCAATGTTCTTAATATTATGCTGTTTTCTCAGCCTAGCAATATGTGGAGACTTTGGTTAAATGCGATAGAAAAGGTGGAAAGTTAATCAGGAAAGAGTTGATTATAGACCATAACTTTTTTCATGAATGAGACGTCTGATCTGAACTTGACTGTAGGGCTCTAGAGGTCTCACTCCTTTTATCCGGTGCAGTCCATGATGCTGTCATCTCTGCTGATGAGCCACAGGTGGCCATTACCGTAGGAAACATGCTTGACTTTCTTAGAGGACGGCACTTGGCGCCACCCAGTGCCAGCAGGGTTACTTCGTGAAACACCATCCCTGCAAGATACCGATCAAATTGGTCATTTGGTATCACAGGACAAGGTATTTCATTTTTATAAGACTCACCCACCACTTTTATTGCCAAACGTCCAACATACACAATAATAACTGCCTAATAAAATTACCTCTGGAAGACCTCTCCAATAGAACTGACCCCAAAGACTTTTCCATCAGTGGAAACCTCAATCATGGAAAGACCTCCAGGTATCTGCTGCCAGTTTAAGGAGCCACCACAAGCAGTTGGAGTCACGCCCTGAAATAAAGCAGACTCAGACTGAAAATTCAGTAAAAAACATGGCAGAGACGAATAAATGATATCGTGTAAAAAGATACTAAGAGTAGCAAACATACTAAACACAAAGATTTGTAGTCATCACTGAAATAAAAGTGCAGTCAAGAATAAAACATTATGAAATATAAAAGCAGCAATATGTGGAGTCCAAGCACCGTTTAGCTCAATGAGGTCTAATGTGCCAGACTGGATCCGATTTATAGATTGAAGATAAATGACAGGATGTCAGACTTTATCAAGTGTACTTCATATGTCATTATTATTGAAGTTCAGGTTGTGACTTTTTGACATTGTTATGCCAAGCTGGAGACTTTGATCAAGTAAGTCAAAATTCCAGATAAGTATTCCAATTCCTTGGAATATTTATTTTATTGAACTTTTGAGGTTAACACAAAAGAAAATTAAAAAAGGGCAGTAATGAATAAACAGAAAACGTATGTGATTGAGCGCAGACTATAAAAAATCATAACGCAAAGAAAACAATATCAGGAAAAAAGAACCAAGGAAAAAGCATGAGCAAATAAATACATAAATAAATAAAATATAGCAACATAGATAGGTCTCAAGTACTACCTTTACATGTTTCAGTACAACAGTGTCTACATATTAAAGAGCGATCAATAACTAGCCCATCAAGGAAGTTCTAGGGAGGACAAATTTTCTACATATTTAAGAAAAGGATTCCAGACAATATGGATACAAAAGATTCCAATTTCTGACAAAACCTACGATTGAAACAATGTTCAGCTAAAAAAAGTAAATTAAAAAATCAACATTGGGCCTCATTCACCAACAGTTCTTAAGAAGAAATTTCAGTAACACTTTCTATGAATGTCACCTTTGTAAGCATCTATAAACACATTCATAACGTGTTATAATGCATTCATAAGGCATTATAAACATAGCTATAAATATTTATAAAAATGCATTACACATTATAGCCATGTTTATTATGCATTATGAATTGTTAATATAATACATTATAAGTACTGTTCATAACTAATTATAAGAGCTCATAAGTGGTATTTGTCCACTCTAAGTAAAGTGAAGCGTACTGTACTAAAGCCTCCTCCAGTGTTCAGAGTGAGGCTTCAAGTTGAAGTATTTACTGAAGGATTTACTGAAACACTAAAACATTCACAGTAAAGCACATTACAGGCTTCAAATGTCAGAGTTTAAACTAGAGCTGCCATCAGTGTTTTACCCAATGTGGGAAAGGTAATGTACACCACCGTTAGCTTAGTATTTGTCTTTACGCTCTCCAAGCTGGGACTGACTTCATTGGCACTGACATTATAACATGTTATCAACACTATTTATAATGCATTATATTAACACTTCATAATGTATAATAAAAATGGCTATACAGTGTAATTCAGTGTAATTATTTTTTTATAAATATTTATAACCATGTTTATAATGCCTTATGAATACATTATAACATATTATAAATATGTTTATAGATGCTTACAAAGGTGACATTCATAGAAAGTGTTACCGAAATTTCTTCTTAAAACCCACTTACGCAGTTTAGACGAAGACTCTGACATTCACCAGTGTTCTCTTATCTGGGATTTGTTCTTAGGTAAGAACAGAATCTACACACAGTCAAGAGCACAAAGGTGAGAACAGTTCTGCACTTTAAGAACACGTCATGAATCTGACTTAGACTTTTTCTTAGGACCTTTCTCAGCAACACACTTAAGAACAAACTTAGGAAGATACTGGTGAATGAGGCCCAGTGGTTCAGTTATTGAATTATTTTTAGTCTCATTCTGCACTGCAGTGCTCCCTGAAGGCCAGTTGTGGTCAGGTTTTGCATGCTTCATCTGAATCTCAATTCATTTAAGTGCTTTAAGTTTTGAAACAATGACAATGTTGCTAGCCAGCTAAGCTAGTTTAAAATGGGCTGTTTCCAAATGATTTACAATAGAATAAATACAAAATACATTTTATGAAAACACATGTAATTACAAAGTTTTAAGACGTATTAAATTGAATTATTTGGATCCAGTTTCATGTCCTCAGGTGAAATTATGTATATTTGATTAGACTGTTGGAAGAATAGAGCCATCAGTGGTCAATTGTTTTTAAATTTTATAGGGTAATTACAAGTCCCTACTCAGACACACCATTAAAGTTCCATGACGATTGGTCAATGTTGAGCCTGTCAAATGGCTGCTGAAAGCTGATTGGCTCATGCTAGCCACAAGTTATTCACTTTAAACTGAATATGTTGTTTAATGGACAAATACCCAGAGTTGACATTATTATCTGTTGTATCTTCAGCTGTATCTGTAGGTTACCTTCATAATGTAGATGTTGTCTGCAGCGTTGACTCCCCAGCAGCTGTACGGCCCACAGCTGTAGTACTTCAGCTTTCCTGGGATATGCTTCCAGGAAGAACCTTGCCCCCCAGTAAGGCAGTAGATATCATCATTCATGTTGACACCTGCTGGAGAGACCATTCCTCCTGCATCCACCTGTTTCAGCAGACCTTGGAAACAAAGGCAGACAAAGACGTAGTATAGGGGCAGAAACAGATGGACAGAAATGGGCAAACTTCACAGTACAACTTTGTCTCTCTCTAAATTTTACTGGAAAGATTTTACTAGGTGGGTCACAAAACAGAATTCCCAACATTTGTATCTTTTAGTGCACAGTTTTAATTTATTTTCTGAGTTTAACATATTGGATGAAAATATGCAGTTACATCTACTCACATCTACATCTTCAACACATTTACCTCAATGTATTCAGTATGTTATATTTAGCAAATAAGCAGTAATTGTATATTACACTGTGCAGAAGTGGCTATATGACTGTATATATTAAATTACTGTACGTAAAATGTCTGTGAAGTAAGACCAGCACACCTGGAACAATAACCCAATCTCCTCCCACAAGTTTGTAGATGTAATTGTTGGAATCGACTCCCCAGACGCCAGCAGGTCCCACACTGACGTGCTTCAGAGATCCTGGGACCTGGATCCAGCCGGTGCTGTACAGGGTGTAGATCTGATTATTGGAGTTGACCCCAAACACTTGACCATTCGAAACATCAATCTGCTTCAGCTTGCCTGGAACCACTCTACACTCCAGAGCTGTAAGGATAGATAGATAGATTAAATTGATTGCTTGGTTGGTTAGTTGATCCCCAAAGGGAAATTACTATATTGCAGCAATTGTCCATTCACATTAATCACCCAAAACATGTAACTTATAGCATGATATATCCATAATGTAATTTACACTAGCCATATGTTACCATTGATTTACCTGGAATTTCAGTGTCTTATCTATAATTACATATTTATTAGTAAACAGTAGAATTACATATATCTACAATTACATTTGCACTAGTAGAAATTCTAATTACAGAAATGTACACTTTAATTTTAACTAGTAAAAAATCCAGGTCCACAAATCCATAATTGAATTTTGACTAGTAGATAAAATAATTTAAGATATCTTTAATTTAGTTATGAATAGTTATAACATGAATTAGAGATATGTATAGATTTAGATTTTGTCATGCATCCCTCTGCTTCTTACTCAATCTCCCAGAATCCTCTGAGATCTGCCTCACCGGATTACTGATTCTGTTCACTTGTTATATGTATCGTCTGACGTAGTTAGGATAGTATACACCGATCAGGTATAACATTATGACGACCTCCTTGTTTCTACACTCACTGTCCATTTTATCAGCTCCACTTACTCTATAGGTGCACTTTGTAGTTCTACAGTTACAGACTGTAGTCCATCTGTTTCTCTGATACTTTGTTAGCCCCCTTTTACCCTGTTCTTCAGTGGTCAGGACCCCCCATGGACCCCCACAGAGCAGGTACTATTTGGGTGGTGGATCATTCTCAGCACTGCAGTAACACTGACGTGGTGGTGGTGTGTTAGTGTGTGTTGTGCTGGTCTGAGTGGATCAGACACAGCAGTGCTGCTGGAGTTTTTAAACACTGTGTCCACTCACTGTCTACTCTGTTCGACACTCCTACCTTGCCAGTCCACCTTGTAGATGTAAAGTCAGAGACGCTCGTCTGCTGCTGCACAGATGGACTACAGTCTGTAATTGTAGAACTACAAAGTACTACTACAAACTAGCTTGTTTTACTCTTTTTATCTGCAAGCATCTGACTGATTCTGTCCCATTAGAGGATATCTTGCCTCTGATGCAGACAGCAAATGCAGATGCTTTCCAAAAGGCATGTCAATCAGGGCCAAGTATTGGGGCAATATCAGCAGGTACTGGCTGGAGTAACTCATTCACTTGATTTATTTATCTGATAGAGCTCTTGAACGGGCTACTGCTAGCTGGTCTCATATGTATCATTTGACAATAATTTCCACATCATTGACAAACAGTTCTCAAAAGAATTTCACATAGTGTTTGATCACACTCATGAGAGTAAAGTAAGTGGGGAACTGTTAACTAAACTTCGACAAGGAAGGTGTTCCTTTGACCTTCGTTCAAGGAAGGAGTTTTGCACTCCTGCTGCTAGTAGTGGGTGGAACAAGCCAACGGAAGTCTGAGGGCCCAAAGATCACAGCCAGCAAATACTGGTTTTTGGCCTAGTTCCTTACATACAGAGATTTCTCCAGATTTTCGGAATCTTTTAATGGTATTATGTACCGTAGATGATGAAAAGCAAAATTTCTTTGCTGTTTTATGTTAAGAAACGTTATTCTTGAATTGTTGCACAATTTGATCATGCAGTCTTTCACAGAGTGGTCAACCCCTCCACATCTTTTTTTCTGAAAGACTCCGCCTCTCTGAGATGCTCATTTTATACCCAATCATGTGACTGACGCGTTGTCAATCAATTACCAGGTGTGGCATTGCACAACTTTCCCAACTTTTTTGAAATGTGTTGTTGGCATCAAATTCAAAATGGGCATATATTTTTCAAAACATTATAAAAATTCTTAGTTTCAACATTTGATATGTTGTCTTTGTACTATTTTTAATAAATACAGGGTTTAAATGATTTGCACCTCATTGCATTTTGTTTTTATTTACATTTTACACAGAGTCCCAACTTTTATGGAAATAGGGTTGTAGTTTAATCTATAATTCTGATTCTTTCTGGTCAGAATTGTTTCAGATCTCTCCAATTGTTTAAGGAATACATAAACAACTATGAAAGCATTCATGTATATTTATGAGAGCTAAATAAGGTGGGAAAAGGCTGGCTTGTGTGCGGAAAGTCAGTGCAGGGCACAAGGTGGAAGGTATCGAGAAGGAGAGGAATGAAAGGCAGAGGAAGAATCTGACCCATTCAACAGAGTACTGAATGTGGTCACATTGGTGAGAGAGTGACTGGAGCACTCCAGGAACATTGACAGCATTTCAGCAACCAGACAATCAGTTAATTTATCCACAATTATCAACAATTTAACTAGCTAACAGGTAGCTTAACTAGCCATAACATTTTTATGGAGGGTTGGACCCTACAGTTTGAAATAATTTTTACGTTTTATTTTATGGTGTTTTACCGCACCATATAGTTTTAAAAGTAACTTGTTATCTGACCTGTTCTTAAGTGTGCCTGATGGATGCACCACTGTAAATAAATAGAGCAGTTATTGCATATTTGTAGCCCGAGAAAACACACACGGGACGACAGCTCATAAGCTATTTGGTCTGTTTATTCTCTATCAGGATTTCAAAGATTTGGTGTAGCGAGAGAAATTCAGCTCACTGTCACAAAAGTATAACAGCCAACTGAAACAAAGAAATAAAGAAAAACAAAAATACAAATTTTAAATGGACCTGGCTTAAATACTTTTTCGGTCCGTTACAGCCTCGTATGTATACAGCACAAAGAAAACAATTAGGCCAAATAACATAAGTATGTACAGTACAAATAATACGGTAGTGGTTTGCTTGTGTGCGAAACACCAAAAACACATGTAGCTTAGACCACCTAGACCAGTTTAGCTTCTCTCACTCACGGTAACTTTTCTCCCACAACTAGCACATCGCAGCTCTAACCAGCTTCTTCTGGTTCCTTTGAATGCACTCGCTCGTTCTGTGCTCTGCACAGCGCCCCCGTGAGGTCTTAAAGGCACAGGAACCTATTTATGCTTTTAGATTAATGTAGGTGAAACTGATAGGATCTGATTATCATCTGGCTACATTTCTCCCCTGCGAGAGGGTAAGCGCCCTCGATTACTCATTTACTCCAATCGTACTCTTAACCTCTTTGACAGCTTCGCGGTATAGAGCACTACTCAAACTAGCCAGAATCTGTGTAACTGCTGCAGGGCTTATGGTGGTTGTATCTAGGACTGACTTGGGCTCATGGTGCAGATTTGAGTGCTGTCCCGCATTCAGTCTCCTACTTTTACGGGGTGCAGCTACAGGAGCATCCAGAACAGGTTTCGGAGCTTTTACCACTGACAGTGACATTTCCTTCTCCTCTTCAGAGGCCGCTACCGTTTCCGAAGTCCCACTAACAGGAGCAGGGGCAACATTCTGCACTCCTTGTCCATTATCAGTTACAAACTGTTTCTCTTCTGGGTATGCATTTTCAGTGGCTGGGTCTCGACATGGCATCAACCTCTGAGGCCTGCTTTCCATAAATATAACACCACCTTCTGAGTCCTCTGAATCTGATTCTGATCCCAGGGATGGACTGAACTGAGTCTGTGGGGTCTGAAGTCCCCGTCGAGGAAGTGGAACAGGAGGATTTGCACATTGCCTAATGTCGACTCTGTTCACTCTTCTTGTCGGTCCTCCTTCTACAGGCTCCACTGTGTAAGTGGTGTCTACTTTATCCACAACTCTGTAGACAACAGGCTGCCAAGCGTCCTGTATTTTGTTACGTCCTAATGGTCTGTTCCTTAGGTAAACCAAGGCACCAGTTTCAATTTTAGGACAATAGACTTTGTCTTTCTGCAAGGCAATTCGCTCAGCGGCCTTCAATTCTGAATACTGTTTTGCTCTAGCATGGGCATCACTTAGACATCTCTGGTGTACCGCTAACCAGTCAGTTTTCTTGTCGCTAGGTTGTTCCCTCCCTAGAAGAGCATCCACTGGCAAGTGGGGCTCAACACCAAACAGTAAATAATATGGGGAATTCCCCGTGGTTGAGTGGGGTGTCGCATTATAGGCATATACTAATTCAGGTAAAGATTCAGGCCACCTGCGTTTCTTTTCTGGTGGCAGTGAGCATAACAGGTCATGTAATGTCCTGTTAAAGCGCTCGCATTGGGCATTACCAGTAGGATGATGCGGGGTGGTTCGGCTTTTTTTTACTCCATACAGTTTACACAGCTCAGATATCACCTCGCTTTCAAAGTTACGACCCTGGTCCGAGTGTAGCCTCTCAGGAACACCATACTTCAGGAACCACTCCTTCAGGAGTACTTTAGCTGTGGTATCTGCCTTTTGATCACGAGTTGCAAAAGCCTGAGTGAACTTAGTGAACACATCAGTGACTATCAGTACATTCTCCCGACCATCAGTAGAAGGCTCCAATGATGTAAAATCTACAGCAATAACTTCTAGTGGCCTAGAAGCCAGAAATGATTTCATAGGGGGGCGAACTTTAGGCTGTGGCATCTTCGTCAACACACAGCGCTGACATTCTTTAATCCATCTCGCCACATCCTCATAAATGCCTATCCAAAAGCATCTGCTTCGTAACAACTGCAGGGTACGTTCGATGCCCTGATGCCCCATCGAATCATGGACATACTCCAACACCTTTTCCTTCAAGCGGCAAGGCAAGAGCAGTTGGAAACATTCCCCAAGTCGCTCATCATCAATAACCCGATACAACAACCCTTTCAGTTCCTGAAAGCTGTCCCAGTGTTTTAACAGTGAAAGGACAGGTTTAGGGAGCATCTTACGTTCTTTCCAATTAGGCCTACTTTTCCTTTCCCACCATTCTCAGAAAACACTCAGCACTGGGTCCTGCTGTTGGAAAACATAAAGGTTCTCATTAGAGTAACCTGGGAACGTCAGAGTATTGCTCTGATCTTGGCCTACATCACATCTGCCAGCTTCAAGAGTCCGTATCTGCCTGACTTTACAACTTTGCAGCCCCGCTGTTACTAGGGCTGGGTCAAGAGCCGTGCCTTGCTT